CGAACTCTTCTCTTCAGACGATACTTTGGGAAGAGCCGTTTGTTCACATCAATTTCCACACAAAGTCGAGCATAATTCCCCCGAGTACAATGTAGCGTGTTATATTCTATCTTGGTCACTTTACCAATTCGACTACCAATGTCATTAATGATTTCAGTGTCAAAGTACCCCATTGGTAGCCGAGGGAGCCTTACCCAGACTTTGGCATTATCAATGACATAGTAGTCTGGATCAAAATCCAACCTCCATTCTGTTGTATGTAATGATCACCAAGAAGCCAGGGGCCGCCGAACAAGGCTCTATCATAATCATGTTGTGAGATGAAGCGGACAGTGAAGAATCCGTTTCCAAAGTCAGCCATTGCCAATCTTCGCCCAAAAGTGTTGGATCTTCTTTTCTAGGATCGAGAAGGGAAATTTTCTTCCAAGGATTTTACAAATGAGTGCCTTTCCCCAGTGATCACGGATCCTGTTTACCGTTGCCTTCCGCACCCGAATCGTTGGGCAGTCAGGATCATCATCATCATCTTTGTCCGATTCATCTGACATCAAATCGTTCTCTTGCTAACCACTCGGGGAAGACTCCTCCCCGATACCGAGTCGCTGTAGCTGAGCTTCATCTTTGTTGGTGTTGTCTTATCGTTGCTGTCTCCATTCGTCGCACTCACACCAGTGGTTGGTGTTTCAAGCATCATAGATCCATGACCGGAGAATCCCTCTTCATGCAGAGTTTTTTTCTTGCTTTGTTGGATTGGGGATGTCTCTGGTGAGGAATATGGCGGTTTCTCTGAATGATGAGACTGAGGATGGGCATGCTGATCGACAGTAGCCATGGCGGGCTTTTTCAGAGAGCTTTATTAGTGTCTCATTCTTTGTATTTCAATACAAACACCAAAATATTTTCCTGTTTTTATCAAGATACTTTTCCTAATCCCCTATTTTTCTTAATAAGATCTTACAACGTTCATTTTAATAACTCGGAAGTTAAATAAATTTGCATAGAAAGAACGCATTAATGATGATCTACACAATGATATCCGTTTTGTTATATTTTAAGCAAAGAATAAAATTAATTTTTTAAAACACGTGTTGATTGTAGTATTATCACTATCATATCATCATGATATGATATGATAGTGATATGATGACCCATCTTCTTAATATCATTTCCAAATTTAAAATAAAATGTATACAAATAACGCATTCATTATGATCTACATAAAACATAATGATATCCATTTTGTTAAGTTTTCTCAAACATAATACCTCATAATAACATCTTATCAGTGTCATAACAACATCATATCATGTTAGTAGGGCTGGCTATTTGATCCGGGTTTTTTGGTTTTACCCAAAACCGGACCATATAACTCGGACCGAGACCGGACCGGGACCGAATAGTAAACAATCCATTCCAATCTTTGGGCTTAGATTTGAGGTAAAAAACCGTTCGAGACCGGATCGAAAACTGGATAAAGACATGATAAGAGAGCTCAACACTCAATACTTAAGGGTAATTTGCATAAACGGTCACAAACCTTTGCACTTAGTACAAAACTTAACCAACTCCTCACCCTTTCAGGCCTTAGGCCACTCAAATCCCCACAAACTCAATATAAAATCAAGACCGAGGTGGGACCGGACCGGGTCAAGACCGGACTGTATCCAATCCAATCTTTGGTCCTTATATTTTCAAAGAGACTGGACTGGACCGGATCAATTTGGGCCAATTTAACGGGACCGAACCGTATAGCCACCCCTACATGTTAGCATAGTAATAATATCATGATATGACAGTGATATGATCTCATCAAACTATTTTGTCAAACATAAGACCCCACACCAACAACATATCACTATCATATCAACATCATATCAATATCATCTCTATCATATCATACCAATTACCATATTACTGTCAGTGGTAATATCGTGATATGAAGGTGGCAAGACTCATCTTTTTCATTTTAACTTAGAATTAAAAGATATTGTATGAAAAAAACATTAATTAATAATTATGATATGCACAATGGAGCACTTCTACTATGCTATATAGTATTGGTGCTTTAATGTACAACTTGAAGTTGTACCATAACATTAAATGTATAAGTTTAGGTTGAACCATAAAATAATTTGTATCATTATGTTATGGTACAACTTTACAACTTGAAGTTGTACCATCACACAAGGTACAAGTTTTAGTTGTAACATAAAAGAATTTGTACAAAATATAGGTACAATCTGAAGTTGTACCATAACGTTAAAGGTACAATTTCAAGTTGTACCATAAAGGAAAAAACCTATAGCACCAATACTATATAGCATTGTAAAATTCCTCATGCACAATGAAATACATTTTGTTTTGTTTTGTCTACATAAGATCTTATACCAACATCATATCATTGTCATATGATAGTGATAAAATTATGATATGATAGTGATATGATGTCATTAAATCATTTGTCAACATCATATCACTATCATATCAACATCATACCACTGCGATATTATATCACTGTCAGTGATAATATCGTGATATGATAGTGGTAAGACGTCATAAAAAGTTTGCTCCAAAATATATAAAAATGGATATAATCTTGTAGAGCATAAAAAAACTGATTTTTCTGTGCAAATGTTTTTGAAATCCGATGTAAAACGAATGAGTTATGACCCATTTAATTTTGTTGGGTGATTTGAAAAGAGTTTTACATACCGTTTGGTTTAAATGAATTTCATAAGTTTTGAGGAATTCATTTGGAAATGAAACATTTTGTGTTTGGTATTTAACCATTAAATTAAAGTTAAATGTAAACTAATAATAATAATAGTTTTAGAGGCAAACCATTTTATTTTTAGAAACCAAAATATTAGTCGTGTATACCATATTGAAATTATTGAGAAATTTTACAATGCCATATAGTATTGGTGCTATAGGTTTTTGCCTTTATGGTACAATTTGAAGATGTACCTTTAACGTTATGATACAACTTTAGATAGAATCCATAATTTTTTGTACAGATTCCTTTTATGATATAACTTGAACTTGTAAATTTATGTGATTGTACAACTTCAAGTCGTACCATAAAATAAGGGTACAAATTCCTTTATGGTACAATCTGAATTTATACAATTAACGTTATGGTACAACTTCAAGTTGTACATTAAAACACTACAAAAAAAAAAGAGTCTATGGCAAGGGTTATTTTGGTCTATACCAAGGGTTTAAACCCTTGATACAAGATCTAGCAAGGGTTTCCCAACCCTTGGACAAACCCTTGGCCAAGCTGCCATTGCTACTTGTAGCAAGGGTTTTAAGTGACCCTTGGTGAAAGTCCTATGCAAGGGTTGTACCAAGAATTTTGAACCCTTGCTACATTACCATGGGTTTGAAACCCTTGCTATTTGTACCCTTGCTACATTACCATGGGTTTGAAACCCTTGCTATTTGTCACTAAAATTGAAACGGATTATGGACACAACTTACATATAGCAAGGGTTAAAACCCCTGCTATACTTAGCTAACATCAAAGCAAACTAACATAAAATTCTCGTCGTTAAATATACCATTGCTAATACAACCAATTTGCATTTTTTGGGACGACATTCTGGTTACTAAAGTGAAAAATTAACTGTCACTAAAGTCAGACATTCCCGTCACTATATGTGAACCCAGATTGGGTTTACTTTGTTCATTCCAAATGAGAGAACAAATTGAATTTCCAAATGGTTCAACACTAAATAAATAGTAAACAGAAACAAAAGTACTTCAATAATTTCCTACTGCAACTTGACTGTTGATAGCCATGTATAAAAAGTCAGGAAAAGTATAAAATTGGAAGTATACAACCTATATTTGATAGTACCAGTCTATCTAACTCAATAACAAACTTAATGGCCATAGTACTAAAACACACCTTGTTGCCGGCTCCTCCAGAGCTTCTTCAACGTTGTGTGTTGCATCGGACAAGGGAGTGGAGCTTTTCTCACTCTCTGGCCCACTAGTAGAACTTGAGGTTACAACAAAGTTAGCATCAAAGCTTCCAAAGCTCAACTTGGTTCTCTCCGATTCCGGAATATGGATTTGGTATGGCATGGGAACATGATGTCGTTGTGGAAGAGACAGCTCCAACTTCTGCAAGTTAGAAGTTAAATCTTCCATATCACCTCCTGAAGCTGGTTGTGATTGAGGAACTGATGAAGAACACTTTCAATTGGTGCATTAGAAACTTCTGTCGAGCTAGCTATAACAGAAACCTGGGCTACTGTGGAGTTCGTAGTCTTTGGTTTCCACTCTTTGGTAGAACCAGCTATTGAAAAGAAAAAAAGAAAAGAAGAGAACATCAACTAGCCAGCCAAAACGAAAGAAACAAATACCAACAATGAATAGGAATCTTCTTGTGGAAACACTGTCTTCCTTGTTACATTTAGTAAGAAAGAATGGATGGCAGAATTATCCATATCAATATTTGATATAAGGTCAAAGCAAATACACTAACAATGGATTAGAAAACAATGTGATTTTAATAAGAAAACTTCTTCAGCAAATAACACAATTGCCAATACTAGCTGTGAAGTTGGAACAAAAGAATATAAATTGAAAGGGCAAAAACAGAACGGGAATGACAAAGTTGAATATCAAGTTCCAGCCCATTACCTTTTTGAGTACCAATCACTTGTGACCTGCTGCCGTAATTAGAGGATGGCCTACTACTAGAAAACCAACATGGACTGATGCAGATGTGGGTTGAGAAGATTCACTGAACTGACTCTTCCCCCACTTTGCAGTTTGTTCAAAATCTTTACAGGAACTGCAGAATCATTCTACAGAAGGCCGTTAGAAGTCATAGTAAAGCTTATTACATCACTAAAAGTTGAATCTGGTTCAGGATTCTCACCTGATTTCTCAGAGTTAGGAGCAACATTTGTATCAGCAAGAGTTCGATGGCTCCCCACTTCACGTTTTATTGTAACCATTGTACCAGCAAGCCTTGAATCATTAGATGGCACTAGTACAGGATCTGAAGATTAGAAACAAATAGCTATGAAGATACTGCAGTCACTGACACTGATGCGCTGCTACTTCTTGGCACAAGCTCTACAGCTGTGTCACCAGTTCCATGCTCAAAGCCACTACATATGCAGGTCAATGAAAATAATCAAATATATTAATGGTCTGAAATCAACGAATATAAGCTTGAAAAGTGTAAGGAGGCAGAGGGCATCAGAGAGGGATTTTGGTGGAACTGCAGGCAGCAAGGAGGGATTTAGGGATTCCTTTTGAATTGCAGGCAAAGCAACTAACATAATAGAAATGGAACCTGAAGCCATTAGCCAAAGCGTAAACAAATTTGAAAAATAAGATTTGGCAGTAGAGACCGTCAGCACCCAGTTCCATGACCATAGATAGAGATATGTGAGTTGAAAAAACAGAGTAGAAAAAAAGCATGGCAGAGAGACAGGGGAGAGGATTTACCGAGGAAAGAAGGAGAAGAAGACAAAGGTAGGAAGAACAATTCAAGGGGCTGAAAAGTGCCAACTCAATGGGTCTGAAGCAGGACAGTACCCAAAATGCCAACCGTCGCTAGCACACGCCGCCATGGTGTTTCGGAAAGTCAGTAGCTTTTTCTTTCTAAGATTGCTTCCCCACAAGAGAAAATGGAAACAGAAAATAGGTGAGTTGTTTTGTTGCTTAGATCTCCCCAAAAGTTCTTTTCTTGTTGTTCGTTGGTATGTTCCCCTCAAACTGCCATTGACAAGGCAAGCTCAAGCAAAACAACCTTAACTGTAAACTTGATAAGTATGACATGCAGACCTTAATCAAACGACTTCAAAGAAGTGCAAATATGTTCTGAGCTTTTATATGATGGTTTTAAAACATTTGATTCAAGGTTTAAGAATAACACCACGTGTAATTTAAGCATAAACTGGGACCTAGCCATCTATAGAATAGAAGATCACTAGCAAAATAAACATAGTATACTCATGAGATTTAGCCCTATACCATTAAGATAAGTGCCATTAAGAGCACTAAACCCCCTAACAGCAACACTAGGTTTTATTCACATCAAGCCTTAATGAAACTAAGCATATGACTCTGACCTGCAAATCCTCTGATAGCTGCAAGGGTATAATAGCCTGGCATGGATTTTCCTGTAAACAGTTTAATGATAATGAGTGTAAGCAAAATGACTAATCTAGGAAAAATTATCAAAACATAATAGTTGTAGTAGTATCACTACCACCTTTTCAAGTTCCCTTACCTCAAAGGCTAAAGCAAGTCTCCTGAACCATGGATAAAGTAGAAGAACTATCAACATTGAACAAATAAATTAAATTTTGTAAACTAACTACATCACCTAATCAAACAGAAAATAGGAATTTGGGATAACATTACCAGGCCTTACATGACATTTCTTACGAAATCAAATCATTAGCATCCTACATAAGCTTACCTATATCCAAATAAGAGTCTTACCTTCTATGGAGGAAGCTTTTGTAAGAGTCTTTGATTCCTCAGTACCATCCTACATAAGATAACATTAGTAAGTTCCATATAGTTAAATCAAATTCAGGGATAAAACCAAGTATATAATTATACCAATGAATTAAAAATGGAAAGCCAAATCACTAGCAACCTACATAAGATCTGAAGTCAGCAAGCTCTGGAATCATTAGGTATTATGCCCCTTTACCTCCCTGGAAGAGTTTTGATCAAAAGAAGAAGATGAATAATAAATCTTCCGAAAAGTAAAAGCATAAGCATGATCATTACAGATAAATGGCAGAAGCAAACGCGAAAGGAAACCTCATGGATTACCCACCCAAACTATTTCAATAAACATTCATCATCAGTATGTATAAATCTAGGGTTTCTATTTAACAATTAGTTCTTCATTCTAGAGAGAGAGTTCATGCTCGGACGCGAGAAGGACAGTGAGAGCGAGAGATAACCTTATAGAATCGTAGAATTGCCCACCGATTCTCCTGGAGCGATGACGGTAATGGTTATGAATTGATGTTAATGGAAGCTCTCTTTCTCCATCTCCTCGTAATGGAATTCCGTGATTGAACTTAGACGCACCAGCTATTCTCTCAGCCGCATAGGAACATGGATTTCATTTCAAAAATCGAGCAGAAAGAGGAGTCATTTGAGGGAAGTGACATGGACGACGGTAGTCGGATGCCGGTGATGATACGGCGCCTGGAAATCGGGCCGGGAAGGAGAAGCTATGAAAAGTAGAATAAGATCGAAAAAGGAGAGTGTTTTCAGATTTTGGAACAAGACAAGGAGAGGGTTTTCATATACACAATTATTAATACATGTAGTAGGGGTTCTTGAACCCTTGCAACAAACCTTTGCAACAATGAGTTAAAAAAAAGATAGCAGGGGTTTATTGAACCCTTGTTACAGAACCCTTGGCATAGGGCTAATTTTTTGTAGTGAAACACCCGTAATTTCTCTTTAGTGACTATATATAGCCTTGTACGCAGAATACAAATAAACAGCTACCACGTAACTTACGTTGATGAGTTGCTTAATCCACTGGTACGTGCATACGACGACACTCAACGTCAACGATAATACGACATTGTTCATTTGATCATATAATTAAGAGAGGCCGAGTTTTAGAGGAGTCAAAAACTGATTCATTCCTGTGACACTAAGCGACGAAAAGAGCCAAAATCTCCATGGTTACGCCCTATACATACATGCATATATTAAGCAATATAAATAGGATGTTTTTAATTAAGCTCTCCCCCAACTTGCACTGCTAATCAAAATCAGTATTAGCAAAGCTAGCTAACTTGTTAACCGCAACCTAAGAGTTAGTTAGTTAGCTAGCAAAAGATGGCGATGGGAAAAAGAGTTAGCGCAGCAGTAGCGATCACTATTGTGTTCTTCTTCTTGTTTCTGCAGCTTTCTGCAACATCAGCTGGTAGGCCGGCCACGACGTCGGGTGCTCCACCGGCGACGATCGACGATCAACCGTCGGCATTCAACGCTCCCAAATCGTCAACCTATCTTCCAGAAGACTGCGATGGTATGAGCTAGTATCCCTATTTTTTTTTTGTACGATACTATATATGGCGATGTCGTTGTTAGTATAGTTTTTATTTATGCTAGGATGGATTCATGGAGATATATGTTGTAATCTCCTTGTCTAATCACAAAGCACCACACAATTATCGTATATTTATTTGCATTCAACTATATCAAATTACAAGAATATATAATGCTGGACATGTCTAAGATTTTCAAAAAATATAAAAATTGCTAAATTCTTCATAGTGTATACCAATTATCATATCGGTATGGTTTATTTTTATACCACAATAGTGAATTATACCGCCATATCATAATATAGGACATCTCGATTAATATGTTTTTGTTTCGAAATTCATCAAAAGGTATGCCATTTAGTAGAATATAATTGATATAATTATTTATGTAACAAATTAAAAAAAGATATATATGGTTAGGAATTAATTAGAAAGTAGTTATGCAATGCATGATGCGTAAAGGTGCTTTTCTGTATTTTTTTTCCTGGGTAATTACTAATTAGGCAACCGGCGATTTTTGTTTTTCAAGGGAAAGGGGCATGTTTTCAGTTATGTGAGTAAAGTTCAATATTGCAATGTTAATCAAAATTTAAACATGATATTTAAATTCTATGACATTTCCATTCCAAGCAATGAACTTCTTTCCCTTTATTCTTACATCTATTAGCTTGATAGGTTATCCATATTTATACCTTACTAATCATGATCATGATATCATGTTGTTTCATTTGTTGTCGATGTCAGATTCTGGTATCGGGTGCCAAGTTTTTGGCCTTTGCTGCAGGCATTAAGGCGAGGTTTTTTTTTTTTATGGGAAATGAGCAAATGATCAGGATTAAGCACATAGAATGCATGTCGTACTACTACGTACAACTCATATCTCAGATTAATTTTGCGCACGTTAATTTCTTTCAACCAATGATATGTATCCTTAATTTGGTGTATGAAAATCATCTAGTCACATCTCGTACTCGTACTCGTACTCACACTCTCATACTCATACTCGTATCGTACTCGTACTCATTAGTCATTTCTTATTAAATACATATGATGAAGAGGGGAGTGAGATTTTTATGTCACTTTGTTTTTTGGTTAGAGAAAGTATAAGTTGTAACTCTATCAACAACATTTTGAATAAACATGAACCTTTTCATACTGGAAGAGGAGGCAACAGAGGTGGACGTAGCTATTAGAATTTTCTCTGATACTCAGATTTTTGTCTCTACAAAATTCTCAAATTCGGTATCTCCATCACAACTCTATTAATTAAAACTAACACATCTGGATCGAGCTACAAGAAGTTTATTGTTATACATACTAAAGCATGTAAATATGCAATATATATTTTAATTTTTAATTATATATAATATATAAGTTATTATTTATCTTATTTAAAAACTCAATTCACTCTCTTAACGAAACAACTAGTATTGGGCCCGGCCTATTGGCCGGGTAATGTATAAAATACTCCAACAATACGACCAAAGCAATTTGAAATATTAATTCAACCATTTCATCAATAAACAATGTTTTTTTTGTCGAACAATAAACAGTGCTCATAACTCATATGATTGATCTATATTATGAATGATGTTGTAAGGCATGAATATAATATATCAAAAGAATAAATAAATCCATGAATTAAAAGCTAACCATAACTTGAAACCCCCTGGGATGCAATATGCTTAAAAGTTGCAGCATCACAATGACAGGAAATTGAAATTGAATAATTGATACTGTCAAAACTTATACACGACTGCCAAGAAAAAGGAAATTGTAAATTGCTGATATGATCAACCAAACAGCTTCATACAATTTTTCATATCAAATCCCTATTGTCTTTGGATAATAATAAACCAAACTATGTACAATCTAAAGCTTCAAACTTGGTAAACATCGAAGAATCCAGAATCAACCAAGAGTTAAGCAACATAATGCTAAATATTAGATTCAGAATATGGCCTTAACCAAATAAAGCTTCTACCAATACTACTTGTCTTCCTTAGAGTTACAGTCAACCTCATTTTTCCTTTCCAATCCAGTTGAGACTGTCCCTGCAAGTTTCTCAACACTTGTATCAGTGTTGCTGGTCTCCTTCAAAATAGGAGCTTCCTCAATGAGGGATTTACTTGAGGCGTTAGTCACTTGCTGGAATAAAATTAGAGAAAAATAGAGAATCAAAACATGAAAATAATTTGCTCTATTTACCCCAAGTTGAAATATGGATAAAGAAATAAGAAAGACAATCTTTTGCACATAACCTTAATTGGACCAGCTAAATTGATTGCTTCTAGGACTTAATAGAACTTGAAAGTATGAGACTTTGACAGATTTCACCCATTTTGCGAGGGATACCATTGCTTGCTGCTGATGCAAAGTGTAACCAATGAAAGGGACTGCAGTATAGTGGCACAAGTAATAAATATCGAATCCACGGGTCTCTAGAGTTACTATTACTCAGCTTCAATTCATTATCTAGCAAAACAGATTAAGATGAAAGAACTAAAACTACTCTAGCAAACTACAGTTAAAATTAATCTAATTACAGGTTGGGAACTCACTTAGGTATGATTCCCCCTAGCCACTAGCCAGATTAACGATTGATGATCTCTAACTTGTTTCACTTTCATTCACAATGCGGAGAATCCTTGACTAGACCTTGAGTCTCGACTAAAGGAACAAGGCCCTCTTGAGTCAATTGCCTAGAGGGACGTATCCTTCTCTAGAACAATCGATCAAGGCGTTCTGAACTAGACTCCCTCTATCGAATGAGGTTCTCAATCGATACAAAGCAGTGAATCAACCCTCGACTAAAGCAATCGATCCACTACTATCAATCTATGGTGCTCTATTGACCTAATCAGGTATTCGCTCTCATAGGATCAAAGCAGAATCAATAATCTCGACTAAAGCAGAATTGAATCGTGAAAACATGCATAGATTGAAAACATGCATGAGGATCCATGATTCAGATCTGCACCAACAAAAACAAAAACACCCAAGTGAAAAGCAAGGGTGGAAAAGAAAAGAAAAACGCTAAAGTAACAAACTTCTGCCTTTCCTAATACTCTAGAAAGTCCCCGGCAACGGCGCCAAAAACTTGACTCTCTAAAACATAACTCATAACAATGGCCAAGTGTAACCAATGAAAGGGACTGCAGTATAGTGGCACAAGTAATAAATATCGAATCCACGGGTCTCTAGAGTTACTATTACTCAGCTTCAATTCATTATCTAGCAAAACAGATTAAGATGAAAGAACTAAAACTACTCTAGCAAACTACAGTTAAAGTTAATCTAATTACAGGTTGGGAACTCACTTAGGTATGATTCCCCCTAGCCACTAGCCAGATTAACGATTGATGATCTCTAACTTGTTTCACTTTCATTCACAATGCGGAGAATCCTTGACTAGACCTTGAGTCTCGACTAAAGGAACAAGGCCCTCTTGAGTCAATTGCCTAGAGGGACGTATCCTTCTCTAGAACAATCGATCAAGGCGTTCTGAACTAGACTCCCTCTATCGAATGAGGTTCTCAATCGATACAAAGCAGTGAATCAACCCTCGACTAAAGCAATCGATCCACTACTATCAATCTATGGTGCTCTATTGACCTAATCAGGTATTCGCTCTCATAGGATCAAAGCAGAATCAATAATCTCGACTAAAGCAGAATTGAATCGTGAAAACATGCATAGATTGAATATGAACTCAAGATTATCAAGTCAGAGTACTCATACAATCATCCAATCAAACAAACATAGCTAGGGTTCCTCAAAACCTAAGTGAAGGGAAGTTACTCCATAGAGAAGAGAGAGACTGCAGAAATCTGATCTAGATCTTCAATCTCCATCTCCAAGCTTGATTCCCGAGCTCCAATGGCGAAGAAATCCTCCAAAATAGCTCCAAGAATGTTCCCAAGTCGCTCTCTCTCTAGGGTTCGTCCCTTGGGTGTTTGGGATCCAAAACCCAGCTCTCTAAAACTCGAATCCCCTTCTGTTTTGGCTGAAATCTGCTTAAAAACCAGAATTTGCCCGACTCGCACGGCCAGGCCACACGGCCTAAAACACGAGAATCAACACCTCAAACGGTGTAAGAGCAGGGGTAAAAACATGTGTAAATAACGGTCTATCAGAAAGAATTTGCTTGTGGTGCAAGAGAGAAACTTCAGGCTCCACGCGATCTTTGCACACGTTCGTTCGAAGCCTTAGAGGTATGAACTTGATCATCCAATTTCTTTAAATTGCTC